ATTTCAAGAACAATATAAGGTAAAACCTATTAAGTGATCAATACCTGAGTAAACCTGATGCCATAGTTGATCTCAGCTGAAATGGATTTTCTTTCCTTTTCAGTTCGAACTGGTCTATCATCCAAACCACGGCAGAACCTGTAAAGCATTTGACCCGTTTTGGGACCAAATTCTTTTTGGAGTTTTGCCATGGTCATATGCTGTAAGTCTCCACAAGTTTTAATTCCCAAAGATGTCAATTTAGATTCCATTGAACGTCCAACTCCTAGGAAAGGGGGTATATACTTAATTATGCAGCAAAAACTACAGAAAACAATTTTAGAAATATGAAATAATCTTCACCCATGCACACATATACTTACTTAAAATAATCTTTAAAATCTTTTTTAAGTGCTGTAACTGAAACTTTTCACGAACTGAAGAATTTTTTTAGTATAAAATCATGCTAGTAGTGTCACTGCCTCTCAATTTGGCCTCCACATAAAGAAAAATCTGAAAGTTCTCAAATACGTGTAATCAAAGTTATCGAAGTGACTCAATCTTATACACAAAATCAAGTAATTAAGTTACAGATTCTTGTTGAAATCATTACTTGCTATCATATTGCACAGAAGGTATGTAGGTGTAAAAGAAATGCTATTACGCTGAACACCACCAAATTAATCACAACCAACCAAATTTAATTAATTGTGCCTCCAGGAAGAAAAACTGTTCTCCATAAGAAAATTCCCTTGATGAAATGGAACAGGCCTAAATGGAGGTGGGGGAGGTACATGTGGGGGTGGGGTCTACCTCTAACCTGTATTTCTTTGAGTGGAGGTGGAAAAGTTAAGCTTGGAGCCTGAGGTGATTGCTAGTACTGAATGGATCATCTAAGTACGAATGTATAAAGAAAAGAATACATCTGTAAGAAGAAAGTACAAGTGCTCAAGGCCCAAACTGAGTGCAATTACAGAGAAAAGAAAATGTGCTGGCTTAGCCATCTTCAAGATCTTGATCAAAGGTATCTTTGAGCAAGGCAAAGGTATCAGTCCTTGATGGGGAACTATCTCTAAATTAGAAACAGAGAATAATGTTTCTTTCCTGGTATCCAGAAGATGGCTGTCCAACACAGACACAAAGGAGTAGTTTCTTAGAATGCAGTTTTCACCTTCTACATCTCTGTGATGATGCAGGCTATTAGCACCACCTACCACATGTGGCCACTTGAGGAAGTGAACTGCTCATTGTGCTTAACTTTAACTTAAAAGTACAGCTTCACTTGGCTACTGGCTACTTTATTAGGATAGTGCATATCTTTATCAACACCTACATGCTCATGGTATTTCTCTGAGAATGGAATAAAGAGAAACTGCAGATTGCATACTCAAAAACAGGGGCTGAAGGAGGTGCAGAGCGTCCTTAATTTAAAGAGTGCATGTCCAAGGTAAAAAGCTTTGCAAAGATCCAAAGAACATGCAGAAAGAGTTCTTAGTATTGAAATGGGTGTTGGGCACAACCTTTCCTTTCACTGGTAGACCAATCAAATTAAGTAATTATCAGTTTAATATGTAATCAATATTCTGTGGTTTCCTATAAAACATAAACTTACTACTGTTATTTTTTTCTTCTTATGTAGGTACTCTAGGCAGCTAATGCTTTATCTATCAGGCAACTGGGGCTTCCACTATGTAGGTACTCTAATTGTTTATTATGACTGACATATTATGTGCTTTGTAAACATTTACGGGTGCAGGGGCCAAAGACAGGATGAAAGCAGAAGGTGTTACCACTGCATTTCTTCAGGTAATTGGTCGGAAAGCAAAATTTTCTCAAAGCATGTCCCATAAGTTGTTAATAGGTTCTATATACTCATCGTGAAATTACTTTTTTTTTTTTTTACGTTTTTTTTTTTCAAAGGGCACATGCACTCACCAAAGAAAGACAGAGAGGAAAAGTGAAAAATCACTCCCAAGGGGACGGCCACAGCACAATTCCTTCTCCTCTTGAGACTTTGAGTATGTATGCATGTATGCCTAGTGCGATTTTCAAAATGCTGGGTCCAGGACTTGAACCATAGTCAGCCATGTGGGTATCTAGAGCTCCTTAACCACTGTGCTACTTGCTAGCCCAGAAACTACTTATTTTTAACAAAGATAAACAGGCTTCTTTATTATAAATCTAGAATATCTACTATGTGGGGTCCTCTACCACAGAGAGTTCCTATACACATGTAAATCCCTTTTTAGGAATAGCCTTCTAGTGCTGTAGTTAAGTGCTATGCAGAGGAGGTCGGATCTCACAGGGCTGACCAGGGTTCCAGTCCCAGTGGCTTACACTCAGATAAGCATATGTGAGCCCAGGATCCTAATGAGATGGAGATTTGGAGTTAAAGTTCAACAGCAAAACCACCAGCCAGAGGGGATGCTTGTACACACACATTTTCTCTCCTGTGTGCCCCCTGGTCTAACAGAAGAAAAAAAAATTAAATTTCATCTTCTATTCCTTTTCTTTTGTCATTTCCCAGAGCACATATGTACTCACCAGAGTGAGAGAGACAAGAAGGGGAAAGCACCTCCAATGAGGTATGGCCACACAGCAATCCCTTTTCCATTTTCTATCCTGTTGAGATTTTGAGTATGTATACACATGTCCTTGACATGCTTCTCAAGTAACCAGGTCTGGGACTCAAAACAGCATGGTTGGCCACATGGGCTCCTGCGGAGAGCGGCCATTCTGAACACATACTGATCTTCACTTTGCTATACTTGTATGTCTTTGTGTGTTTACTTTTATGTTTATTTCTAATCCACGGCCACCCCCTCAGAAAAAACGCATCCTGCAGAGCAGGTCCTGGCAGGTTCCAGCTTCCTTAAGCATTAAGCCAAAGGGCCAACTCCTTAAAAATCCTTTTTTTAAGGGACAGCTTGAATTCTGTGGAACACACTTTGAGAAAAGGAGAATTACAATCTTAGGAGGAGTTAAAATGAAGAAGGCTGATTATTTTGCATACCTGAAATGTTCTACATCAGTGAGATTAAGAATTTGGGAGGCCTAACGGTTAAGTGAGCCAGACCTCATATTGCCAACTTAGATTCAAATCCTGGCCCCAGCAACTTGAAGAACATGCCAGGTGTGTGTGTGTGTGTGTGTGTGTGTGTGTATATGCGTGCACACTCATATATGGAGAAACAGACCCCTCATCTTCACTCTGTCTCTGACAAGCATGTGTCCTCTGGCAAAAGAAAATAATAATTTGGGGATATTTATAAAAGTTAATCATTTCAACACATGAAAATCACCTTAATCATTCTGAATAATCTACAACCCAGTTTTGAGAAAAGAGAGGAAGAAGTTAGATCTTGCCACCATTATTTTTTTGGATGTCCCTGAGGGAATCCAAGACTATGCCTCACAGTTTAGTTAGAATACACAACCTTTTACTGGCTCAAGAAATAAGTGTCCTTCTAGCCAGGAAGCAAATGAAGGTGAATGGTGAATGGCAAAGAGGTCAAAGAGCTAAAATTGTTTCTGATGCACGCGTGTGCGCGCACGCACACGCACACACACACACACACACACACATACACACACGGTGGGCCCAAATACAGTGGCAGAGGTGGTAGTGTACCACTCTGCACTATTAGAGCCAAAAAGGAAGGCTCAGGGTTCAGGTCCTAGATGATGGATATGAACCTGGCTTGCTGGAAGACTGGGGAGAGGACAGCAGCAGGGCCAGACCCTACTGGGGGTCCCTTCTTTCTCTCTCTTAAAAGAAACAACAACAACAAAAACACAAAAACAAAAAAGCCCACAAAACTGACTGAGTTTAAAGACAGAGTTTTAGACTGAATTGTGTCTTCCTAAAATTTACATATACGAATCCGAACCCTCCCTCAGTACTTCATGTGACAGTATTTGCAGCACGTCTTTATTGAAGTAACTGAGATAAAATGAAAAAGATCTGTGTGTACCTGGTAGATTAGTGACCAGCTGGCCTCTGATAAAGTCATCTACTTCTTCTGGTTTTAAGTGGTACTGCCCATCTGGTTTTGCTTTTCTAGTTGCCATTCTAGCCAGGAGAATATTAGAACCTATAAAATGGTAAGAAAAACATGTTGTTCAAGAAATATTCACAGATACTTCTTAAACTATTGAGCAAAGACACCTACGGACAGGTTAGCTGTCAAATTTCTAAAAACAATGGCAAAAAAAGTTTTGATCATTTTGAACAAATTATAAAGCTGTAGAACATTTTTTTATTAAGTATTTTATCTATAGATTATAACCAACATGGATGCACATAGTGATTTCTCTTTGTTCTAAGACAAAAGCCAACATCGACACACATGTATGAACTAAGGAAACGGTCCTGATCTTATGAGGGGAGTTTGCAGGAACTAAAGAAAATAACCAGGAAGTTCATTTTCCTAACCACAGGGTATGTGGGGAAAAGAGGACAAAGGACTGCTACAGGACAGGAGGAAACAGCAAGCCTACAGAACCAGAAAGTGTGTAGTGGGAATTAAGTTAGGAGAGATGGAGATGGGCAGGGAGGTTCACGTTGTGGGGACAGGCTGGGCCATAACAGCCAAGGAAATGACCTCTGAGAATGGGGAAGGGTCAGGGGTCTGTGAGGCTCTGCTGCTGAGCGAACTCTAAAAATCTCCAGACACTAAGGAAGACAGCTATCAAAGTCAAGTTTTAGAAAACTTACATTAAAAACTACATTATTTTCCTAGGATAAATATACAGATTATGAAGAAAGGAAGTTCTACAAAGTCACACAAGAAGTGGTGAGTTCTGGGTAAGGAAAAGGATCTGAGGGATCAAGTGGGAGTTTAGCTTCAATGATATACTTCAAATTAAAAGAATGTTTTCATACTACCATCTGTAAATTAGTTATTATTTTAAAATAACAGAAAACAAAAGCTGGGGCTGACAATGGGACCCAGAAGGTAATCCTAAACAAAATGTTAGAAGATCTGTGGACCAACAGCAGAAGTAGATGCATAGGCAAGCCAGTAACTCCTGGATGCTGCCAACATGCTATCATAATTTTTAAATTTTATTTTATTTTTAGGTTTTTGCCATAGGGTATGTACGTTCACCTGAGACAGAGAGATGAAAAGTGAGAAATCAACCCTCTGCCCCTGGGGGAATGGCCACACCACAATCCCTTCTCCTCTTGGAATCTTGGACATCTGATTTTCAAGCCGCAGGGTCTGGGACTTGAACTATGGCAGACATGTGGGAGTCCAGCACCTAAACCACATCACCTGGTGGCCTCATCATCATGTTTTTATTTTCTGTACCTTCTGATGTTTGACATTTATAAAACCCAGGCAAGCTAATTGCTCAAGATAGTAAACCATATTAAGGAGCACACCTCTCACCTGAAAGCCAGACACCCCTAATCAGTTCCTTACCAAACTTTCAAACAAGCAGCTAACATGAGGGCTCTTCAAAACATTCACAGAAAAGGAGTATCATGAAAAAACTATGTAAGGATTAAACCTGTTTATTTGGAAATAAACTTGTAATTTAATTCTATTTTTTCCATTAACTTTTAGAAGTCACCTCATACTTTCTCTGCCCTAAATCATCCCTGGGTCAAGTACTTGGCAATTAGAAATCACCATTCTAGCCCACCCTAAGCAATTTTCTCTTCCCTGACTTGCCTTTCCCAAGGACGTTCCAGCAGGGCCCAGCCCTTGGTTGTAGTTGCTCCTCCTGCTCCTGCTGCCTGGCCAATGTGGAGGCTTCCCCAGTGGCCTGGGTGATGGGATGTAGCCCCTCTTCTCAGGATATGGAAGTAACAAATTACTTTTTCAATGGTACTAGGCTTTCTCTATTGTCACCTGCTCACTTCTATAAATCCCACAGATACAAGAGAAAGGTATCTCCACCCCAACGCTGTGGCATAGAGAGGACAGCCGGGAAAAAGTGGCTTCACTCGAGTGAATGACAAGAAAAGGGGTGTCCTGGCAGAAGGCACAGGTCTAAGTTCAAAAAAGAAACAGTGACTCAGGAAAGCTTGGGTGTGTCAGAGCTCCAGAGGGAACAGCATTAAGAGCTGACAAAGGGAAGAGTGAGGTGGGAGCAGCTGAAGAAACGATGTACAAGGCACAGAGATAGAGAAGAGTGGGGAGGGACTGCAGCCACTGAGACTACATGGCAGCTGGATGACTTCCCACACTCAGAATGGTCTGAGACAGGACTGGCTGCACACTCCAAGAAACTTAAGTACACACACAAGCAACCATGAGGCTCATGCTTACCTCCAAATCCCACACCACCACCCTGCTTCTGTTATGTGGAAAGAAAATTACTGTTTACAAACATTGAGTTAAATCTTTCCCTTTTTAACGAAAAAGAAAATTTTAACTTGTTTATTAAGAAAATATCATTAACTATTTAGGTGCATTTCTAACACTTTCACCTTGTGTATCACACGACTGTAAGCAATGCTAATAAATACTTTTCAGAAGTGAGAGGGCTACCTAAGCAACTTAATAAAAACAACATTTCCTAAAATTAAGTGACATGCAAGGATCCCAAAGCAACTCTTAAGTAAAACAAAGAGTACAAGATAAGCTGGATACTGACCGATCCCCACAGAGGCAGCGCATTTAGTCTGGTCTTTGATTTCTGTACGGATAGCATTTGCAAATTCATCAGGGGTAAGCCTGGTCTCTGCAAGGATCTCGGTGATGTCTACCAGTGCTTCGTCACAACTGACAGCTTCGATGTTATGAGTGTAGCTATCAACACAAAGTAAAAGCAATGAATCACAGACACATCTGCCATCCCGTAGGCATGAGTGCTGCAGAGGAAACCCTTCTTATATGGTTACCTTTCCTCAACATTTCTTCACGAGGCTTAAAGTACCAGAAAACTCATTACCATTTTAAATAAACTGGCTAAAATGCCATTATTTAGTCACATAACTTCTATCTGCAAGACTGATTAATCTTCTTACATATTAACTACCAAAAAGGTAGCAGAAAGCATCATTTCGGTTTCTCTATACTGAAAATATCTTTGTAAACCTTCTAATAGTTGAAAATGATGGGTGAATTACAACTATCAAAATATTTTAATGGAAACATTTTCAAACAAGCATTTAAAAAATTTTCAAACAAGATTTATAAGAATCCTTATGGAATTGAAAAAGTATACAAAGCAGTCCATAAGTACTTGCTGCTCTCCTGAAACAAAAATACCACAATCAAAAACCATTCACTACAGCAAGCCTAGGGTGAAGTAAGATAAAACAGCCAATTGTCCCAGCTGTCTAAGAGAATGCCATCTATACTTTCCACATGTGGAAATAATTTCTTTATTATCTTATATGATCTATCCACATAAAGGACTTGTTTTAATTAACTACAGAGGAGGAAACTAATGTTAATTAACTATAAGGACTATGAAACCATAAAACAGAATTGCACCAGAAATGGAAGGTGATCAGAGGCCTCAAAGATCAGAAATGGGGCATGGAGGTTAAGGCAGCTGGATTCCACAAGGCTGACTGTGCGGCTCGATTCCTGGACCCAGTGGTTTGAAAATCACGCCAGGCACAGGTGCAAGTATGTCCAAAATCCTGAGAGAAGACTAGAGGAGAAAAGACTGTGATGTGGCCAGCCCCTGTGGGGTGATGTTTCACTTTCTCTCTCTCACTTTCTCTTTCTCCCTCCCTTCCACTCTCTCCATCTCTCTGGTGAACACATGTACCCTCAAGAAAATCAGAACTATGTCTTTAATAAGCTGCTTGGTACTGTACACTAGAGGACCAGCCCTAAACTTCCATCTACACCTTACTGTAAGTTATAAATCAGATTACTATCACCATTAATTCAAGAAATGAGTATATTCTGGGGGTTAAAAAAGTTATTTTTTCCCCTCTTTCTTCGGGGGCACACATGTGCTTGCCAGAGAGAAAGAGGAGGAGAGGAAAAAGCACTCTATCATAGGGCATATTCACACCACAACCTTTGCTCCTTCATTTCTCCCCTCGTTAAAGATTCTCGGCATGCACATGCATCTGCCTGGTGTATTTCTCAAGTTGCTGGGTCTAGGACTTGAACCATATGGTCGGCCATGTGGGATCTGGCTCCCTTTACCTCCAGGCCATGAAGCCAGCCCAAGAGTGAAGAGTTTCAGAACAGAAAGTTAAATCTGATAAAAGGAATTCTGCTTCAGAGTGAAAGCTGCCCTAAGACAAGGAGAATATGAAACTGAGACATTTCCAAAGGATGGGAGGATAACACTGGTCTTTATTTTTTCCTGAGAAGAGGAACATACCACTAAAAATGTCTCCAGAGACTATAACTATATCAGAACTCCTACGTGTCCCAGCTTTCCCTCAGATCTTCTTTCTCTGAGGTTCAGGCTGGTAGTCTCCTCCAGTGTCTCAAGATCCAAAAGTGCAGGATTACTACTCCGCTCAGTCTCCTGAGTAGAGTCCTCACTGGATACTACTTCTGATCTTAGTTTTGGAGTGGGGTTTAAAGCATTTTTCACTTGGTGACACTAACATTCCCTGTATCTGAGTCTTAAGGACAGCTGTGATTATGACTGGTTGGTCATTCAGTGCTCAATTCTACATACCGATGCCAGACAACTTAGTCTGACCTTTTATATTTCCTCTCCCCTACTAAGATAAGCTCCTAGGATAGGGGCTGGATATTATTCCTCTTAGTGAAATGAGCAGTATCTAGAAGTCATTTGTACTTAAAGGATACTAGTTTTTGAAAGAATGTATGAGAGAGGCAGAAGTGAAAATAGAGGCAAGACATATATTTCTTGGAACATTGAAGCAGCACAGAAATCAAGAAACCTTTACTACTATCCAGCTGCCTGTTTGGGTCAATATTTATTAGAATACAGCATGTCCACTCACAACATGTCTGCTCCTGGTTGACAAAACAGAGCTGAGGAGGTGTGACAGACTCTCCTCTGGCCTTTTACAAACTGCCACCCCCTGCTTCAGCGCATGCATACTGCCATATACTTTCTGAAGTTCTGAATTGATACTAAATATATCTACACACTATAAATGTTTTAAAAAGTACCATATCCTTTTCTCAAGCCAACTAATCAATCACTGTGAAACTATTACTAAAAATAAACACTGTAAAGGCTGGTCCCATGGTCTAGAGGTTAAGGTAAGTAGACCCCATATAGCCAACCATGATTCATATCCTGGCCCCAGTGGCTTGTGAAATGCTAGGCACGTGTATGTGTGCCCCAAATTGTGACAGTATCAAGAAATGGAAAAGGGAATGTGGTGTGAGCATGCCCCACTAGAACACCCTTTCTTCCATTTGTCTCTCTCTGGCCAGCATGCATGCCCTCTGATAGTGAGTACATAAATAAGGAAATAAAAAAAAACTAACTTTTGGTACACCTTAAGATTTTAAGAAGACAGGGATTAGCAGTTGGCTACATCACTGAACTCCCATGTAGTCAACTGTGGTTCGAGTCTTGGATGCAGTGGCTTAAACTCATGGCGGGTGCATGCACGTGTGTGTGCCCGCCCAAGATCCCGAGAGGAGAATGGAAGAGAAGGGACTGTGGCGTGGCCATCCCGCCTGGGGGGTGATTTCTCGCTTTCTGTCTCTGTGGTTCTGGCAAGCAACGTGTGCCCTATAGCAAAAACCTCTCAAAACAAACAAACAAACAAAAAAAGACTTTAAGAAGACAAAAGGATTTTACATGTCTCTACTTGTCAGCCTATCACTTCTGATTTTGAACAAAACTATGGGTTCTGGAAAAGTCGTGACGTATTTTTCTATGTTCTTCTATGCAAATGTGTCATGACTTTTCTGATGAGCCAATATAATTAAATATAATAAAAGAATAACTAGGTTGAAAATTCTAATCGTTCATCTATCTGGTTTCATAGGAAAACAAGAACCACAGAATAGAAGCTATGTGGGCCAAAGAATTAGATTCTACATCTCCTTCAGGAAGCAATGCAAAATGTCCTTTGGGACTGGGATCAGATTACTGAAGCTGCCCAAGGGAAGGAGAGAAGGCAAACTGAGATGCTGAGGAAAAGGTTCCTAAGAGATAAACATCTAGCAAAATTGATGCTGACAACCCTCCAGAAAACTGGACTATATCTGACAATAGAGTAAATAAAACAACAGACATAAAAATAACTGTATTACACACTGTACCTTGCCAAAGTTTCATACATTGTTCGTGCAACTTCTTTATATGCATGAAAATCGTATGGAACAGCTTGAAGATTAGGACATAGCTGTTTGGCATACCCAAAAAACATTCCATTCTTAATGCCAAGTTGTCTAGAGAGAAAAATAAAACACAATGGAGGTTACACTAGGAAGTTTTAAACTCAAAATCAAGCATCAAATATGCTATTTCCCCATGCCACTAAAATCCAATTTTCATTTAACTCCATTCTCAATAGGGGTTAAAAAATAAGCATTAAGAAAATATATGGATTTGTTTTACCCCCCAAAAGGGAAATCACACAACTGTCTGATTAGTATAAATGACATTATGAAGACGTGCCAAATACATTACTAAAAAGACCAGGTTTGGCTCCTGTCTTTATTTGAAGCTATCTCCTAAGAATAAGACCTCTGGCCCCTTTGCAGAGATGCCAGCATGCCATATGCTGGTGATATCACAACCACCACAGATTAATGTACTGTCAAAAGAGGTTTTCTTCCCCTACTACATGGCTCAGATTGGCCAGGGTTCATCCCCCAAAGACAAAAAATATAAACAAAAGAACTAGACAAAACAGCGCTATGTGACAAACAGACAGAATGTACTCATCCTATTACCACCCAATTCCCAATTGACCAATTCCATGCTCCAGAAGTGGCTCCACAGTGGTTGAGATGCCAACAGCATTGTACATGGTAGGACATCACTCTGGGCAGGAGCCAGGGTTCCAGAACTTTGAGGGACCTAATTGAAAATGGTAAATTTTAAATCTAGTGTGTTTTTCAATGCCCCAAAATTACCTTTGATATTTGGAGCATTCAGCACAAAACTATTAATTATGGAACCATACATAATTAGTAAAACTCCATTTTATCACTTGGTAAAGAACCATGAAAAAAAAAATAACAGTATAGTAAAAACACAAGCAAAATAACAAACAGTCCTTCATTAGATTATTCAGTATTATCATTTAACATGCTAATAGTTATTCTACACATTCATTCAATAAATATTTACTAGCTGCCTGCTTAGCATGGAGGTGAGTCCTGCTTTAGGAAACATCTCCAGAAATAGTCTATAATCGTTCAGGGGCTCCTGGCACCTTCCTAACTTTCAGACTAACACTGAGAGCCAACAAAGAAAGAAGCCCTCCAAGTTACTCAGAAGTAAATGCAAAGTCATGTGTGTTTTTTAAGTACACACAAAAAAACTATTTCATTGCTAAGTCTATACTAGATGAGAAATATCTAGTAAGAAAGAAAAATGAGAGTAAAGGAAGTAAAGACAGACGAACAGGTTAAAAAAAAAAAAAAAAAAACCACACCACAAATCTTCAGACCAACAGATGGTGTAATGGTTACATTATAATCGTTACATCACTGGACTCCCACGTTGTCAACTGTGGTTTCAATCCTGGACCTGTCAGCTTCAAATGGCATGGCAATCCCCCCCAGGGGGTGATTTCTTACTTTCTGTCTCTCCAATAAGCACACACACCCTATAGCAAAAATCTCTCTTAAAAAAACAATTCTTACATTCTCCTAAAAAATAACTACGTCTTGGGACCAGCAGTTAGCATGATGGCTATGTCGCTGGACTCCCATGTAGTCGACCGCGATTTGAGTACCAGACCCGGTGGCTTAAACTCACACCGAGTGCATGTGCGTGAGTGCCCAAGATCCAAAGAGGAGAAAAGAGAAGGGACTGCGGCATGGCCATCCTCCCTGGGGGATGATTTCTTGCTTTCTGTCTGTCTTTCTGGCGAGTGCATGCGCCCTATAGCAAAAACCTCTCCCAAAAAAGAAAAAAAAAGAAAAGAAAAACTACGTCTTGGGCATTCTGTGAAGTGGTAGGTGTGAGCTGATAAATAAAGCAGACCTCATGAGATGACACTGCCTTCACTTAGCAAAGGATGAATTATGGTCAACAGGCCTTATTTAATAACATTGGGAAATAAATGTATAATACCTTAGATGTGCATATACAAGCATATAAACAGTTTAGAAAAGTTATCGGAAGTGATCAAAGCAGAAAAAAGGACTAGCATTTTAAAAGGGTCAATTTCAAATACTAATGGAAGAGATGAACTTCAGCATGTAAAAGCCAAACTTACAAATTAAAGGTAATTATTCATATTTAAAGGAATGAGTTACATAATTCCTATATCATGTTTTTGTATTTACAATTAGTTCATTTTCAAAATTTTCATTTACACAAAAATTTTAAGGCACAATACTTAGAAAAATGTAGTATGATCTACTTATGCTCTGTTGCACATTTCCTGGAAAGAAAGGTTTATTAGAAGTCACTAGAGGGGCCAACAGATGGTGTAGCGGTTATGACACTGGACTCTCACATGGCCAAACACAGTTTGAGTCCCAGACCTGGTAGTTTGAAAATCACGCTTTGCACACATCCACATGTGTCCAACATTCCAGGAGGAAAATAGAGGAGAAGGTATTACAGGATGGCCATCCCCTTAGGGAGGTGATTTCTTTCTTTCTGACTGTTTCTGTACCCTCCCCCCCCCCATCCCTACCCCTGCAAGGGCATGCACCCTAAGGCAAAAGCCTCTGGGGCGGGAGGGAGAAATGGAGACGAGACTGAGGTGTGGCTATGCCCACACCAGGAGTGCTTTCTCACTTTCTGTCCCTCTTGTCTCTCGCTGGTGAGCTCCCACTCTCTCTGGCAAAATTAAAACAAGAAACACAGGGGAATAAAGGAAAAGAAAATATAAAAATCTAAGAAGTTTCCCATAACTAATGGAAACAAAATATCTTGAGTTGATGGCTGAGAAATTAGATTTGTTTCACGGAAAATAAGTAAAGACAATTACAAGAAAGTCTGAAGTGACTCTGTACTACCATAACTAATCTATTTTTCTCAACTAAAATACCATACAGGATAGATTTATCACAAGTACATGCTGTGAAAATAGTTTATTCCCAGGTTTAAAGGGTGCGGAGCATATTTTTCTTGTAATAAGCCTGTCTCAAACAATATATTTGTTGTTGGATTAGACAATGAAAAAAACACCCATCAAACCACTACGGCTGTCCATTCAACTTACTAAAAGACATCTGTATAACTAATAGGGAACAATGGTAAAGGGCCCTTATAAAAACACAAGGAAATAGAGGTTTAAATTATTTGACTTTAAATATCTATGATTCTAGGGTATTTACATATCATTAACTATTCATCCATATATCTCCCAACTGATTATACACCATACTCATTGAAAAAAATCTTCTTACTTAAGGAACATGTACCTACTGTACAGCCACAAAGAAGGTATCCAGAAATTGTTTTTTAAATACCTTCATTAGGAATAGTCTTTTAGAATATAAAAAAATACAAAATACAAAATACAGCTGTGGGTTTTTTTCCTTCTTTCTCCTACTCAATTCAACCCTTCACAATCTCCTTAAAAGAGACATTTGCCACTTAAGGCAAACTTGTTAACATAGTAATTGACCCTCAAATACTGTCACTCCAATTATTCTACTGTGAGTTAATACAAATATACCACTAAAATATCAAAAGGTATCTAAAGCCTTGACTCAACTGGGCTCCTGGAGGCCAAAGCCATCAGGAGCTAAAAATGTTTATACCCTTAAGGCAGCCTCGGCACTTCCCATTCAGCATGCATTTTCGGGGGTAGTGTGTGTGAAGGTAGACCTTGCAAGGGGCAGCTCAGCAAAGATGCAGTTCTCATTTCACCAACCAGCTGAAAGCCAAGGACTGACAGAGTATATCTGGGATTCCTCACAGCCTCCAGATAATGAACACAACTAACTAGACATGAGATCCATCAATAACTTAGTGGGAGGACAAGAGACTAGTCTATGGAGAACAACCTAAACTTAGCTCTAAACATCTGTGCCAATAAAAAAATATATTAAATAAACAATCCAAAATGCATATTGATATTGGGGCTGGCAGGTGGCATGGTGGTTAAGGGCACTGGACTCCCACATGGTCGACTGTGGTTCAAGTCCCAGACCCGGCGGCTTGCTTTCTCACTTTCTTTCTCTCTCACTCCGTCCCTCTTTGGTCAAACTAAAATAAATAGATAAAGTTAAATAATTCTCTAAAAAAAACAGTTGAAATCCACCGGTATTCAACTTCATTATCATTTATTAAAGTAAGTTTCAATTCCTTGGCCACATATCAATTCCTTGGTCACATATCACCAGACAATGAAATATTTATTAATGAGAAAGGCCAAAAGCAAAGTTAGCCTTGAAAGTAGTTAAATTATGTAGGAAATTGTGTGATCAATGCCTTGTGGGTGGGAAGGGAATGAAGGACAATTGTGGACACCGGAGGTGGTGTGAGAGGAGGGTGGGAAGGGACAGAGAGTCAGAAAGAGGGATGGAAATATTTCTAGTAACTAGAAATGGAAAATTTTTTGTAATGTGCATGATTGAGTCACTATGCAGTGTGTACTGGTGGGAGATCGCATTTTGTGTGCTGTGATGATGCTTAGGGAAGGGATGTAAACTGTGTTACAAAAAAAAAGTTTCAGAAAAAAAAAATATATATCTATTCAATGACTACAGTAGGATATGTAGCCCCAGCTAGGTGCTACTTTATAGGATGCATAGAGTTAGACTTGTGTTCATGGAAATGTGTATGTCACCTGTGTTTGCTATGAGGGTATTTGGATTGATTAGGGTCTTTGGTGATTCAATAAAATGTGGGGGGAAACAGTATAGAAAGCAAACATAGATACCAGAGACAGTGGGGGAGGAGAATGGGAAATGACAGAGGGTAAGAGATAGGGAATCAAGGATGGGGGGAAAAAAAGCTAAGCATACAGAAAACAAGAAATGGAAGATCATCTGCTGACAATAACATGTTTGTTGATGTGCTTGATTGAGACAATATACAGTGTACTCTGGATGGAAAATCTCATTTTGTATGCTGTACAGTGAATGAATGCAAATAAATAAATTGGAAAAAAAAAAAAAAAAAAAAAGGCAAAGTTAACCTGAGAGCAAAAGTTTGACATATCATAAATGGAAAACAAAGTATTTTGTAATTGTGCATGTTTGAACATAATGCTTTATTTCTTAAATATCCTTTTCATAAAATGACTAGCAAGATTTTAAACAAACTGCTCTGGTTAATGGTGAGCTCAAATATTTAAAAAAATATAACTGATTTACTATTCTATTCCTTTTTATAATTAACTGAATACTTTAACATTTATCAATAACATGTAAGTGCTTGCTATGTTATAAAGGTAAAACTGTTTGTGTTTGGTTACCAGGAAAGAAAAAATATAAAGACCTCACTTTCTAATTAATTATTACCCTCTCTACTTTGACAACTATTATAATTATTTCAAGATGATTTTCTTAAGTATGTGTGTTTCCTCTTACACTGAAACAGTCAATATAGTTGCAGTGTACTGTGAGATTACACACAAGTTAGTGCTAACAAGTTGGTAACACTCTTACAAACTTCGTGAAAAATTACTAGGGAGTCAGAAAGAGGGATGGAAATATTTCTAGTAACTAGAAATGGAAAATTTTTTGTAATGTGCATGATTGAGTCACTATGCAGTGTGTACTGGTGGGAGATCGCATTTTGTGTGCTGTGATGATGCTTAGGGAAGGGATGTAAACTGTGTTACAAAAAAAAAGTTTCAGAAAAAAAAAATATATATCTATTCAATGACTACAGTAGGATATGTAGCCCCAGCTAGGTGCTACTTTATAGGATGCATAGAGTTAGACTTGTGTTCATGGAAATGTGTATGTCACCTGTGTTTGCTATGAGGGTATTTGGATTGATTAGGGTCTTTGGTGATTCAATAAAATGTGGGGGGAAACAGTATAGAAAGCAAACATAGATACCAGAGACAGTGGGGGAGGAGAATGGGAAATGACAGAGGGTAAGAGATAGGGAATCAAGGATGGGGGGAAAAAAGCTAAGCATACAGAAAACAAGAAATGGAAGATCATCTGCTGACAATAACATGTTTGTTGATGTGCTTGATTGAGACAATATACAGTGTACTCTGGATGGAAAATCTCATTTTGTATGCTGTACAGTGAATGAATGCAAATAAATAAATTGGAAAAAAAAAAAAAAAAAAAGGCAAAGTTAACCTGAGAGCAAAAGTTTGACATATCATAAATGGAAAACAAAGTATTTTGTAATTGTGCATGTTTGAACATAATGCTTTATTTCTTAAATATCCTTTTCATAAAATGACTAGCAAGATTTTAAACAAACTGCTCTGGTTAATGGTGAGCTCAAATATTTAAAAAAATATAACTGATTTACTATTCTATTCCTTTTTATAATTAACTGAATACTTTAACATTTATCAATAACATGTAAGTGCTTGCTATGTTATAAAGGTAAAACTGTTTGTGTTTGGTTACCAGGAAAGAAAAAATATAAAGACCTCACTTTCTAATTAATTATTACCCTCTCTACTTTGACAACTATTATAATTATTTCAAGATGATTTTCTTAAGTATGTGTGTTTCCTCTTACACTGAAACAGTCAATATAGTTGCAGTGTACTGTGAGATTACACACAAGTTAGTGCTAACAAGTTGGTAACACTCTTACAAACTTCGTGAAAAATTACTAGGTATGCCAGTACAGAATTACGTACTTATAGTTTAACAGGCAACTGAGTTTTAACTTTTTTTAAAAAACAAACAAACAACAATGACAACAAAAAAACCCTGAGTATCAAACAGATCTACAGATTAGGAGGGATTCCTAGCTGTGAAAAGGCAAGATTAGAGTAGATCACTATTAAAATTCTTTCTCATGAAAGAAAAATCTAATTCTTTAATTTCATGCTTAAAATGACAATGCCCAATATCTTTTGGTTTCCAATGGAAGAGCTATGGGTTCTTATGGAAACTATTACGTTATTTAGCTAAAGTTACCTAGCATTTAAAGATATCTGTGTGGGGTAGGGACAACTGAAGTGATTAAAACTAAAAAACAATTCTATAACATGTCTGTAACATATTTAAATTATGGACTTAACTGACATGTCTAAGCCCACTTCAAAAGAGTATATAAAAACGATTAACCAATTCATTAAGAATTTATAACACACTTAATTTCTACATACCTGGCTTCATAACTACAAGATGCAATTTCAGCCTTTGACAAAACAGAATCAATTCCATTTGTTTGTGCAGAATCTTGATTTTCCCACACTGATGAGTCTGGTATATCTGCTTTAAAAATAATAAAACTTAATGCATTTCTGCTGGTATTTTTCATTTTATAAAAAAATTTTCTATAACTCTAAAATGATTTGCTTCCATTAATATTCTTCACTGGCAGGCAGCAAAATAAAAACTTACTACAGTCAATTGAAAGTACTGTTTTAAAAGACATTAAAAATACATACCAAAAGATAAACATAAAATATTCTGCAACAAAGTCCCTTAAGATGGGTAAGGATGGAAGTGTCACAGAGACACACTTCCTCCTATGGCCTTAAAACAACTATACAGCTTTTTGAAATGGGAACAAGTTAATGGAAAATAAAAATTTCTCAGAAGCTCTTCTGTTTTCTAGAAGAATTATATGCAGCAGAACTTAAAACGAATTAACATATTCAACAAACATCGAATTGCTACGAGCCACGTGATCAAATAATAATGTAGTAGGTCACGTACTATAAAGAGATTCCATTCTAACTTTATGCTTCTTGTGGGAACACACATCATGAAAAAGAGTTTTACAACAATATATCCCCTCTTCAGGTAATTTTACTTCTGGTTTAATAATATATATCCAATTAAAAACATTCAAGAGTGAACAGAATATCAATTGCTTTATGGAACACAACTCTGGGCTAGGTAATAGAGTCCAGAATTATCTCTTAATATCCTAAACAAATTTATAACTGTACACAAAATATAAAAGCACAGTCTACAGAGCCTGCTAGGGACATGCCGCTTCGCTTCTTTTACTGCTTTTAGCTTTACTAGTAACTGAGAAAGAGTAAAATACAATTCAGTCATAGGTCTCTTGGGATAATACAATTAGGTTCCAGGAAAAATATGCTACAAAAAACATAAAACACCTCAAAACATAATCTCCATCAATAAAAACAAATCTCTACTGAAAACAAAAATATCATTAGTAAAACAAGATCAAATATACCACTGTTAGCTATGTCTAGACAACTTACATTGTGTATACAGTAATAACATAACTAACAATCCAGTATTTCTCTTCTGTTTATTTCAGACTCAATGTTCCATAAAAAATCAGCTAAGTTAATGTATCACTAGAAAATCATGACAAAGTACCTGGCTTCACAGTTGAGACAACTCTTCCTGGTTTGACCAGTAACCATCAACATCTTTTATCTAACTATGCCACCCTGCCAAGCGTTTCTGGATTCAAGCATCCATATACACAACATAAATGCAAATTGAACTCTGAGGATTAGCATCTCAGCAAGGTTAAATTCTTGCATCAAAAATAAAAACACAGTAGGTAATGTGAGCTATGGTTTCTGAAAAGGTGAATAATATATGCTATACAATTAGAAATTAAAGACAGAATACAGAGCAGATAACCCAGTGTTTTGGAAGTGTCTTAAAAGGTTAAAATAAATTTTAATTTCCATTATTCTAAGTTAAAAATCTGTAAGAATTTCATGATCTCAGCATCACAGGACAAGACAGGTGTTACCAGACTAAAAAAAGGTGTGCTAAAGCTTGAACAGCCACAATCAGCTGCCTTTCAAAAGTGTAACCATGAATTATGCTTTAAAAGTTGGGGAGTTATATGACTTTTATATCTGAAGGGCTAATTAACCTAAGATAATTGTCTTGGAAATTACAGGAAACTCATGCTCGAGGTAAAAACTGTCTCTGTGGTCCATGCGCCCCCAATGCCCTGGCCTGAGAGGTTAGCACCATCGTGTTCTTCTTCACTGGGCGGCTGACCTGTTCCACAGTGCAGCAGAGTACGTGGGTCCCTCCACGAGCGGAGTGAGTTGCTTCATGTGAGATTCAGGGAAATGCAGGGACACACTGTCCTCACTGGAGGGCAAAGTAGAGAACTGCTCATCAAAACTTGACAAACTAGACGGGCACATGGAGAATGTGGAGGAACGGTTGGAGAAATCAGAGGCCAGGACCCAAGTCTGTGAAAAAGAAATCGCTGAGAATAAATCTATGACTAACACGATTTCAAAACCTGTTGTTCTTTAGAATGAAAACTGAAGTTGCTGAAGGGATAGAAAACATGTGCATGCTGGGGAATCTAGGAAGGGGTTTTAGAAAAGGCCCCAACCATGAAATCTGGAGTAACAATATAATGGTTCCAAATAATGAAAGCATCAATGAAAAATGTCACTACTGAGCAGTGCTCAGGAAGCTGCTTCCAAAGGAAGTCCTGGGTAGATGTAATCCCCTGGTTTTGCTGGTCTAATTATAGAGTTGAAAATGGCAACTAAGAAACAAAAGTTTCTAAAAAGGAATAAAGATGCTATTTGTCCTAATATTTCACTTAGACATAGAAGCAGAAACTTTAAACTGACTAAAAATAACAACTATGCAGAAGTCAAAGATTCTAATTCCTGAACTGATCCTCGGTGTTTAATATTTGGTGCCATATCTAATAATGGCCCAGAGAAAGAAAGATTCAGGAATAACAAAGAAAGAGGAATAAAGGCATGGGGGGGAAAAAAAAGTTCTGAGAGAAAACTTAGTTGCAACCAAGCTTTATAATCAAGGACAATCTATTTGACTTATAAGTCACAAAATTTTTAATAAGCTCCTTATGGGTCAAAAGGTTTAGGATATAAAAGAGAATGACATCAAGTTTAAGCAAGACTATAAAAAACAATATATCTTATTTGCCGCCTCTATTGAGAGAAAAATCTATTTCTGACAGTTTTCAACAGCAAGTGAAATTTAATTATTTTGCCTAATATTTACCTGGTTTATCACTCACATTTAGAGGTGAAGGGAATACAAATTATATATAGTCATCAAAATTTTGTGAAAATCTGGCCGTTAAAATGATAAAGACTATTCAATACCCAATGACAGTGTTCTGGTAATCACTTATGGTCAGACTATGATGGAAGGAAAGACAAGGACGAGCTCTCTGCTACTCGAGGAACACAGGCTTGCCAGGTTAAATCCTAGATGGAGCCAGCAAAAGCCACGTAAGGTCTGTAATAAATTCAAGATTCTACCCCTCAAGAGATCTAAGCACAACAGAGGGATGCTACAAAATGTATTCAATGTGATACTTTTTTCTTCATTCAATATTCATCATTTCCTAAATGCCCAATACATAAGTACTGCATATTTCCACCAGCTACTTGTTTTTTCTAGAATGTAAGATTTCATCTTTTTAACACATAGAAAACACAATCTACCACAAAGCCATTCTACCAGTACTTAAAAGACTACCAGTGCCACAATACAACTAAATCTTGTCTTAGTCAAGTTCAGTAATAGCTACCCCAAAGTCTACGCATGACACAAAATGCTAGACTCTCAAAAACCTCTGAAAAGATCTGAACACCAAGAAAAGCTTTAAAACCTTGGAAATTATATGTACACAGGAAGCATAAATATGCATTTACAATACCTATAATTATTTTCTTTTTTATCTACAACCATGTAAACAGAAGATCACAACCAACAAAAAGTCTAAATAAATCCCAAAAAAGGTCCTCTGATGTCCACCGGTTTTCCTTCTGTCTTAATTTCCTTGAGATCATTTCTAAAATAAGCTCAAGGTTTTATAACTGACAAAATCAGGGTACTGAAATAATTGGGATAAAACCAAACTGCATGCCTTCTAATTTAATACATTTCTAATTTGTTATTACTTTCTGATTAATTCTTTTCTGAAAGATGAATTAAATTTTTGGCTCTGCAAAACACTCATGGAAAAAACTGATCAGTGTCAATGAATTTAATTTCTAGGAAAACACTTCTCAGGGAATTAACTAGGGAGAAATAGAATAGATATGAACATATTAGTAAGTATTCCGATCAATATAACTTTAGTATTTATTAATATCAAAACTTTAAAAGCCAAGACAGCCAAAAAAAATTGTTTCTCATTATGAAATAGATCTAATAAAGGCAATGGGGAATGATTACTAAAATTTACATTCTAATTCAATAAATTAAGGTTTGATTGTTTCTTATTCCTCCTACAAGCCGGAGCAACGCAAACGTTAGTGTCCTTACAGTGATATCATAACCAAATGACTAGGTATTAACCTTGACGTCTGCACAGGCTGCCACAAAATGACGCTCATGATTTTTATTCCAAACATAAATTTATACAAAGCAAATTAATCACACTTTTGAAAACGTTGTTTGCTCTGTTCCAGAAAAATGCCACCATTCATTTCAACAATATGAACTATATACCTGACATTTGTATTATATTCAGGTTTTGCTTTAAGATGTTACTGACACCCTTAAAAAAAAAAAAAAAAAGAGCCCTTGAATAAAATAAAATTTTTAAAAATCCTAATTATTGCATCTCTGCTTTCATTTCTATAACAATAACACCAACAGCAAAATCCAGAAGTTGTCCACAGGAGCACTACAGCTTCAAAGAGAGCTCATTTGTACCTGCTTTGCCTTTCAGCATTTTATTCTGGTAATACTGCCATTCCAGCTGGGGGTTAGTGCCAGGACGTAAAGGTGCCCTTCCTGTGCCTCTGTTACTTGTAACAGCCACTGGTTTTCCTGTGAGGAAAAGAATAAATTATTTCTAAATCTAAGTACAGGAACATTAACATGTAAAGAAAAGTTTTTCAAAGGATTTTTAAAAACATGACTTTTTCTTCAGCTTTATTTGACCATTAAGCCTTAAGCTAATACATTTAAAGATTTTAACCACAATGCAAAGGTCATCTAAATTTCCCAGTATTCTCCCAAAAGTAAACTGTGACAATTTTGCTAGCTTTATTCAACCTAAAATGCAGCACTGTCACATAGCTCTCCGTGGCTTTTGTTTGATTTTCTTTTTTTTTTGGGGGGGGGGGGGGGGGGTTTGTCATTGCGGTCTCGCCAGAAAGACAGAGAGAGACAGAGAGACAGAAAGCAAGAAATCACCCCCCCAGGGGGGATGGCGAAGCCGCAATCCCTTCTCCATTCTCCTCACGGGATCCTGGGCATGCACGCACACGCGCCCGGTGTGAGTTTAAGCCACCGGGTCCAGGACTCGAACCACAGTCGGCTACATGGGAGTTCAGCAACATAGCCATTAGGCTAACTGCTGGAACCTTTTGTTTGATTTCTTACAGTAGGAAACACTCAGATTCTAGATTCAGACTGGAGCAATGGGGAGAAAAGAAAAACTACAGGAGGAGAATTCAAAAAGTTGGTTGCAAAAAAATAGGATTAAAGCATTGGTTTATTTCGGTGCAAAAAAAAAAAAGTTGAACTCAATGCATAGCTCTTTCATAATACAAATTTTCCACAAACTTTCTCAAGACCCTTCATATGCTGACTTTCTGTATTTCTGGCATCAGGAAGGTAGGATTGACATCTATATCTTATACAATTTTACAGCAAGAGAAACAAATTAAATATATATGCATAGGAATCACAACCTGACTTACCAAATAATCAACCATTAGTATATTTAGTCCTTAACTTTTTAGTTATAAAATTATTTTCTTTTATCTTTTCAGTCTGTGTGTGTTAAGTTAGTAACTATACCCTTGTAAAGCATCATTCATAGTTATTTACTGAAAGCACTTGTGAAGACATAGCAAAACAGTGCATTAAAAAGTTACGTTCAAATCAATTCCTTAACATCCTAAAGTTCCTATTAGAGCTTGAGCAGCCTTGGTATTAACCCAACTGAGCCTCTGTGCTGTAATTAGTGCTTCTTTAAGGAAAAGAACTAACTCTGAAAAGAAAATGTTAACAGTCATCGCTTTCAGAACTAGCCACTGAAAAATCCAGAACAGATGTTTTTTAAAGTACTGGCTAGTTCAAAAATAACTGAAAAGTCATTAAAACAAAGGCTGTCCAGATAGCTTAACATATTTTAGCAATATTTAATATAAAGTCATTCTACAACCAAAGAGTTATATGCTCACCTGCACCGACAGTTAATCACAATATTTGCTTGAGAAAGCAGTGACTCAACTCTCAAACATAGACTACCATAAAACTTCCATTCATTAGCAAAGTAATATACATATTGATAAAACTGCAGAAAAAGCCCATAGTAGGTCCCCTCCTGTATTAGTTTTAAATGACAGATTCCTTCAGCTGGCACTCAATTCTTCTTCCCTAAACATTGGATCTCTATAGGAGGAAAGAAAAGTTTTCTAATTTTCCTACACTTTTCTTAATAATGGAGTACAGATAATTAGAAAGCAGGATTGAATTTTTCCCCCCCCCAATCAAAATAAGTATTTTTTAAAGATGATTTTATGATCCCTTAGAATATATATTTATAGCTATTTTATCAATTTTCTTATATCATAAACAAGAATACAGACCTTTGAGATCTGGTCTATTTCGTATACCCACTGACACAAAGAAGCAATCCATATCAACATGCATTATACAGCTCTGATGTCTGGGTGAACTCAATACTGACATATTTCCTAGAAGGAAAAAGAGAGTATTCAAACCCCGAAGTAATTTTTACCATGAAAGAAATCAGATCTAGTTAATTTTAGGAATTACATTTAAAAGGTGCTTACAAGCAGAATGAAGTCTTGAAAAACACTGAGCCTATTGCAGATTATTTTTACTCTCTGAACCAAAGTCAAAGTTAAGTTTCTTTCCTCTAAAAGTAATTCAGACACAAATTTAGCTTACAAATATAATCTTAAATCAATTGTGAAAATACCGTATTTTTCTCCTTTTGAGTCTAATAATTAAGTCTTAAGTAAAAATTTGCCTAAAAACTTATCTTAAAATTACTTTTGTATACTGATTATTTTATAGAAAGATAGAAAGTTGTTTTCATACATTTTGTTAAAAGGAATTAAGTAACTTTTTTTTAAGGTTTTTGCCATTGAGTGCATACATTTGCCAGAGAGAGACAGAGAAAAGAGAGAGAGAGAAATAGACTGTGAGAGGGAAAATGAGAAATCACCCCCCAGGGGGGACGGGTCCATTGCACTCCCTTCTCCTCCATTCTCCTCTCAGGATGTTGGGCACGCACATACTGTGCCCAGTGTGATTTTCAAGCCACCAGGCCCGGGATTCGAACCACGGTGGATCATGTGGTAGTCTAGCGCCTTAACCACACCACTTCTTAGTCCCAAGCTAAGTAACTTCTGATAATCACTACTCCCCATAGTCTACAGACATTTCTTGATGAAACAGTAACAATAAAAAGTCACTGTTATCCAGTGATTGGTAAGTTCAGAAACTGTTTTAAGAGGTTCATAAGTATTTATTCACTTTAATTCTTACAACACTATTAGATAGGTGATCCTATTATCCCCATTTTACAGATTAATAATTTACTTAAATTATATTCAGTAAGTATTTGAGCTAGGAGTCTATCCCAGGGTTGAATTTCAGAGCTCCTAAACTACCAAGATGCTGTTCTATCTAAGAAGATAAATGAGGGGTATTCAAAAAGTCCATAGAAGATATGTTATTGGGTTGTTGGAAAAGTCATGACACATTTTTGCATAGAAAAAAAAATACGCATGACTTTTCTGACAACCCAGTATTATGAAAAAAATTATGCATGGATTTACTTTTTTACAAAAAAAAACCCTGATATTTTAATTCCATTTTTCCATAGTCTTAAGTCTCCCTGTACTTTAAAGATAGTCTATAAAATAAAAATTTGTATACAAATGGGATTTTTTTTTCTTCTTATATCATTAAATACCACTCAAAATCAGCCTTGAACCATGAATACACTTGAGATATAGACTATCCTGTCTTAAAGACAACGGCTTATAATAACCCTAAGCTACACTGAGATTAGAAAAAAATTTAACACTAATCCAGCCTCAACCAGAGTTTTCCTCTATTATCAGTCTCATCATTATTCTTTTTCCCTGGTTCTCCAAGACCAAAGAACTCTGAGCTTGTAAAAAGTTCTGATCTTATAATGAGTTTTCCTGATAGGCTGAAGAGCAGTAATGGAGTCTTTCTAACTGGCTTCCAAAAACTTAAAAGTTTTGGATCATTCCACTTACCAAATAGTGATTATGACAGCACCTACTAGTTCTCATGACTGGCAAGGTACTAAACACCTGTTCAAATTATCTTAAACTCACGGTCCGTGAGGTGAGCATCATCAAGCACCACTCCCCTGCAGAGAGGAAAGTGAGACATAGAGAGGCAATCTGCTTTCCCACGGCCTTGTAGCAGAAGAGTACAGAGGAGCTGGGATCTGGAGATAGGCCAAGCTCTCTACTTCCAAATCTGTTATGTCCTTGCTACCTTTATATTACCTCAAGAATGATTTATAAGATAAACCTTAATAATCATAATTCTGCTTTATATATGAATATAAACATAATGTAAACTCAAAATAATGGTTTTAAACATTCAAATAGTATGTATACACCAAGTATCTACCAAATGTTTTCATATACTATAAAAACTTCTCATTATATCCTCATTCATGGAATGAGTTTATAATAAAGGGACTTCAAAAAGTTTGCCAAAAAAAATGGAAGTATGAGTTTATTTTGGTGCAAAAAAAAAAAAAAAAAAAAAGAAATCCATGCATAGTTGTTTCATAATACACATCTCCCATGAACTTTCTAAAGACCCCTCATATTTCTTTGATGCTTACAAAATTAAATGACCTTCAGGTTACAGGGCTGAGACATGATGTAAGGATAATTGAATATCTAAAACATTACTCAGAAATATTTCATAAAGCACTTATGATTAAAAGCACATAGGAATACATCAAACACAGTAAACAACAGAAAAAATCCACATGGAGAGAGACTCCATCACTTTTTAGGACAAAACCATGAGCTTTTCTCTCTGTACCTCAGTTCCCACAGCTATCAATTAAAAGATAGTATTAGATATCTCTGAGATTGAGATTACTCCCTTAAAAACAAACCCTACAATCTAAAAACTTCAAATAAGACCTAACTTAAAATAACTGGCACAGAAAAACACACTCTGCTATTCATGGATTGCTTTGTTTTTGATAACAAAGAAAGTATTAGAAAATAAAATACAATTAACGAATCTACTTAGATATAAAAATACTTAATCTCACTAATGCAAAATTCCAGAAATTAACAATTAATTCTATCAAACCAACAGGCGTTTAAGCATTGAGTATACCATGTTATATTTACACTGTTCAATACTTCAGCAACTTAAAAGATCTACATGAGGGGAATAAGTGCTTAGAATCCCAAACGTGTTACTATTTAAATTATCTGAAAATTTTTCCTTAGCCACAATTAAATCTAATTTTTAAAGAAGTATCTGAATCAGTTATACTTAATGTAACTTACATAATCTAACATTCCTAGAGACGTTAATATTATTCGCTCTTAATGTTGATCAGAATACTAACGATAGCATAAAAACAAAATGATCAAGCATGACATTCTTAAGAAAACAATTTTAGTATCTACCTGTGTCAGTTACAACAAGTGCAGACCTGCCTGCTTTCAGTTTTTTTAATTTTTCCCTTCCTGGAAAGATACCACTACTCTGTCTTTGTAGGGTATTGACAAATTCAGTCAATTCACACTTCCATGTTGATATGTGATGCAGTCTTGAACGAGAATAGAAGTCTGAAATAAAATTGCAGTCTGAAGGTCTGGATGGCACTGAAGGTGCTGCCTTGCTAAGAGTAGGTACTGAAGAAGTGCTTTTTGTGCTTGAAGGCCCCTGAATAGTGGAGTGGTGAGCACCATTGATTTTAGTGTTACTGTGCAAAGATGATAATGAGAAAGAATTAGTTCTGTGTGGGTTTCGCAGAGCATCTGCATTTCTGGTGCTCTGTTGCAACTGCTGCAGACTGCAGTCTCTGAAGTCAGTACTGTTCTTCTCTGCCTTCTCCTCATCCTGGGCAGAGTCTGGAGAGAGCCTGCTGGCAACACTGTTGCCCATGGGCAGAGAGCAATCCTGTGTCTTTAAGGCACCATTAGAGCTATGAGTGTGTCCATTAAAAATGGCAGTACTGCCTCTGGGATGTGGCATTCCATTTTGTTTCCTTCCCAGATAGGTCTGTTCCAGATCCACAAAATTAAAATCATCATTTACATCTTCTTCATTCCAACTGTTCACTCCATTGACTCTGACTTCATTTTCTGTCTCAATCTTCTTAATTATGTGATTCCTAAAGCAGAAAATAAATTATTTAAGTAATAGTGTCCAACTTTCAGGATAAATTTGTTTTTCATTTAACATATTTTTAGTGATACATACTTCAATATTTACCTCTTCAAAATCTGAAAAACCAAAGCATAAACTTCATGCTTTGTTTTAGCAAAAAGTAATTTTTAACTAAACCAAAGCAGCAAGGTAACTAGGAAAATTCTATAATAGTAATAGCTTTTTAAGTTTTGATTTTTTTCCCCCCACTTAATACAGTCTCAAGAGAAGAAATACAATGGAATACTTCATATGGTTGAAGAGAAACCCAAAAATTGTTTTCAATTAAAGTTCTCACAAAAAATTAATCGGAATCTATAAGCTTTAAATACCCAGTTCTGAGGATAGTGCTTGACGTTTAATTATACAGTCAAAAAATGTTTCCTGAATTAATAGAATATGAGTAATTTCCATAAAATGGATAAAAAAAACTTCATTTAAATTCTCATTCTTAGTTTTACTTTTAATGTACTGCTCAACACATTAAATCCAATATTGCTGCAAAGGGACTAAAGTTCTGAGGCCAGTTAGCTTCAATTACAGGGAAAAAATAGCAGACAACACTGATCAACTCATTAACAAGTCAATCATTGCATAAGTAGAGAGAAAGTAAGAACCAGATCAGTATGTGAGGGTAACTCAGTAAGATTTATACCTGGAAAAATGAGAGATCTTGCGTTACTGACAAAGAAAATGGCATTTCACTTTTTTTTTTTTTTTTAAAGAATTATCTGATTTAACTTTATTTTTTCATTTGACCAGAGAGGGTCAGAGAAAGCGAGAGAAGGTGAGAAAGCAAGCCACCAGGTCCGAGACTTGAACCACAGTCAGCCATTGTGGGAGTCCAGCTCCCTTAACCACCAGGCCAACTGCCATTCCCTAAATGGCATTTTATTTCTAAGAAAAGCATATTTAGATGCCAAAGTGGTCCAAGGCAATGTGGTCCAAGTTTCCTAATGACAGGTTATAAAGTGCAGGAACGAGGACAAATGCTATGCTAAATTCACATTCTAGCCCCTCTAGATGTTTCCTTAGTAATAATGCTTTATAATACTAAATTCATTTGCATTCATAAGAACCATCTATTGGGTTGTCCGAAAAGTCATGACACAGTTTTGCACAGCAAAATACATGATTGATGACTTCTCTGATGACCCAATAAGTAACAAACACAAAAAGTTGAATTACTGAGCTACAGTATGTAGCATCAAGTCCATAGCATCAAGTCAATTATAGTTCAGGCTTCAGATAAAGAGTGCCATAACCAGTACTGAAGCCTATGTGAGGATACCACAGTATCACCAGATTTGGTCTAAAGCTCTTCATCCTAATGTTTTCTAAAATTATCACAAAGAACAAATTTTAAATACATTTATTTGTTTTTTAATATTTTTTTGAGAGGTTTTTACTATAGGGCACGTGCGCTCGCCAGGAAGACAGAGACAGACAGAAAGCGAGAAATCACCCCCCAGGGGGGATGATCACATGGCGGCAATCCCTTCTCCATTCTCCTCTTTTGATCTTGGGCATGCACGCACACACACCCAGAATGAGTTTAAGCCACCAGGTCCGGGACTCGAACCGCTGTTAACTACATGGGAGTTCAGCGACATAGCCATTACGCTAACTGTTGGTCCCTGTTTTTAAAATTTTTATTAGCATGGATAAGAAAAACAAATGAGACTATATATTCTGTGAATAGGTTTCCTAATTATTTGTTGTGCACCTTGACGTTAAAGATTTAAAGTTTCAGGTAAGGGACCAGCAGGTGGCATGGTGGTTAAGGCACTGGACACTCCCACATGGCTGACCACAGTTTGAGTCCTGGACCTGGCAGCTTGCTTTCTCACTTTCCCTTTCTCTCTCTCTCTGTCTCTCCCTGGTCAAATTAAAAAATAAAATGAATGAATAAATTAAGTAAAATAATTCTTAAAAAAAGATACCTTTGAAAAAAATAAAGTTTCAGGTAAATGTAAAGAACATTTCAATATGCTTATAAGTGAATATGAGTTAAACAACACATGAAAACAAAAGAATCACAGAAGGTAGTGACACTGGATCCTCCTGGTATTTTGTAAAAATACATCCAACTCCCAAAGCAAGCAATTTAATAAATAAGGAAAAGGGTAGTGATAACGAATCACCTCCTATACAAGTTAAGACATCATACCAATTAATTGTGAAACTAATTTACTCAGGATTATTGCAATTAAAGCTAATTAAATCAATATATTTTTTAAAATTGGCCATATTGCATAAAGTCTAGATCCACTCCTATCCTGTAACTGAGGGCCAACTAAACTACCATGATATAAAAGGATTAACATATTTAACATTTATTTTTGAATACTTCAAAAATAACCTAAAAGTGTTAATATTTTAATTATCTTCCTATGCACCGCATACAACAAAAGTACAGGTGGTACAGTCAGTTCAGTTTTTGAGAAACCGACACTCCATATATAGCAAATTTCATGTGCAAAAATTACTTTCATGAAATCCATAAAAAGTTTACTAGTAACTGAAGGTCCATTAATTTAACATGAGAATCTATAAGACTAGGAAAACTCGTTTACGTTTATGAATCTTCAAACACAGGTAAATGGCCAAACTATTTGTTTCTATCTTCAGCAGAGCCAACAGTCAGTCACCACTTAAAATGAGCTTTACAGTATTCCCAAATAAGACAAACTTACACCCTGCTGTGGAGCTGTTTGGCTATATTGCTTGGACCTGGCACAGGATCCTCAGGTTTGCACACAGAATTAAAGTTGAGACCCCTCTGCACACTGGACTGCTTGGTGTACAGCTGATATGGAATGTAGGATAAGAGTCGCCCAGCTTTGATGCTAAAACAAACAAACAAAAGCAACACTAATTTAGAATTCAATACTTTGTAAAAATGCACTTCATAAACAAAATTCATGTTCTTAAAATTATCTCACAAATGGGCTACCTGTTTTCTTAGTTTATCACTTTTCACTTTTTAATGGTCCTAAACCAATACGGTTTTACTTAAACACTAAAGACGTTCCAGATAAAAGACAGATATAAAATTTAAAAGAATTAGTGGCCAACAATTTTACATGAATGGAGAACTATGGAGAAAAACTGTAAGCACTAGTCAATATTTTAATTCTCCTAACTTTAACATTAACCACTGTTTGTTCCCCCTCAAACAGTTGAGATATGATAATCAAGACTTCTTCCAATCCCATCTTACATATTAAGCTTTTCTAGAATAAAAATAGTGAATGAAAAGTCTGTTTTCCCAATTCAAATTAAGTTTCTTAAATGTAGAAAGTGTAAAATAAAATACAGGACAAAATACAGACTCTTATTTCAAGAGTAAAAAATAACTTGAAACTATTTTTATGTATTTAAGAATGAGAAAAGCGGACCAGCAGAAAGCATAATGGCTGTGTCACTGGACTTCCACCATGTTGACCATGGTTTGAGTCCCAGACCTGGTGGCTTAAAACTCACACCTGGCGCATATGCATGTGTGCCCAAAATCACAAGAGGAGAAGGGACTGTGGCGTGGCCACCCCCTTGGGAGGTGATTTCTCACTCTCTCTCTCATGTGTCTCATGTGTCTCTGGCAAGCATAAACTCCCTATAGCAAAAATCTCTCTTAAAAAAAAAAAAAGAAAAGACATGGCTATCTAAGAATATTAACTCTAAGAGGGCAAAAGTTATCACGTATTTCCTCCAAATGCTTATTACATATCATAACATCAGCATTAAAATCCAGGGAACCCCAGTCTTATACTAGTAGGTAGTACTGGCACTTTAACTGAAACTCCCAAATACCTATTTCCTTTTGTACTTCGGAACTAAAATTAATATGATTAAGCTGTTTTAATAAATTCTGAATGCAAATTGGAGTTACATATGTTACTATATCTTTAAAAATACATTTTCCAGTTAGCCATGGCTTGGTGATTAAGGTGGCTTAATGGCAATTTTCCAGTTAGCCATGGCCTGGTGGTTACAGTGGCTTGATGGCACATGGCCAAGTCCAGTTTGAACTTGGCAACTTGAGAGAGACACTAACGTGTGTGCATGTATGCCTATTCCTCATGGGGAATGTTTTTCCACTTTCTCCCTCCCTTTCTCCCTGGTGAGCACATGTACCTTCTGGAAAATTAAAACAAACAAAAAAACCTCATTTTCTGCCACACAAAAGGACCAGGTTCACTCTCAGACCATACTAGATATACCAGGCCCAGCAGTGCATGTCCATGAACCTAGCTTACTCGAAGGCTGGGATGAGAGGAATAAGGCACTATGAGACTGTCGGAAGAATTTTGCCCTACTGTCAAAAATAATTAGGGACCAGCAGATGGTGTAATGGTTATGTCGCTAGACTCCCATGTAGTCGACTGCGGTTCAAATCCTGGACCCCAAGGCACAACATTAGGCACATGTGCGTCTGTACCCAAAATCCAGAGGGGAGAATGGAGAAGGAAATGTGGCACCGCCATCCCCTCTGCAGTGTAATTTCTCACTTTCTGTCTGTCTGGCAAAGGCACATATATTATAACAAAAATCTCTCTAAAAGAATTTTAAAATTTTAAAAATAAGTTAATTAATAAATTTTGGGGCCAGCCAGGAGGCATGGTGGTGGATAAGGCAGCTGGATCCCATATGGTCAACCATGCAATTTGAGTACTGGATCCAGTGTCCTGGAAAGTAAGCGAGCCATGAGACCAGCAGAGGGCATAATGGTCACATTGTTGGACTCCCATATAGTCGATTACGGTTCGAGTCCTTGACCCAGCAGCTTCAAACTCAAGCCAGGTACATGTGCATGTATGACCAAAATCCCGAGAGGAGAATGAAGGAGAAGGGACTGCAGCATGGCCATCCCCTGGGGATGGGGTGGGGTGATTTCTCACTTTCTGTCTCTCCAGTGAGCACATGCACCTGATAGCAAAAATTTCTCACTAAAAACAAAAGAAGAAAATCAATCTGGGAGTATGTGTGTGCCCAAGATCCTGAAAGGACAACAAAGGAGAAAGGATTGCAGCACGGCCAATCACCCCTTGGGGGTGATTTCTCACCTTCCCTTTCACTCTCTTTCTCCCAGATGAGTGCATGCCTACTAAGACAAAAACCTCTTTAAAAAAAAAAAAAAAAAAAAAAAAAAAGAGGGAAAGGAAGAAAGAAAAGGTGGAGTTGAGAAAGTCCAAAAAATGGATTGAAAAGAGAAATAAACTAAGAATAGTATTCTACTTCAAATTAAGCAATACATTTATGCTAACATCCAAATTTTAAAACAGGTTCCTTACATATTAAAAAATGTTTTTTAAAAAATCGTTAGTTTTTAAACCTAAAATCACTAACAAAGTCATACCTGATTACTTAGGGGGAAAAAAAAAAGAATAATATTTTTCTTATTGTCTCATAAATCCAAGGATTTTTATTTGCTTAAATAGTACTTTCCCAAAATTTTCTTAAAAATAACCACCATGTTGGGGCCAATCTAGGGCACAAGGGTTAAGCCCAAGACAAAGGGAACCAGATCCCACATGGTTGAACATAGTTCAAATCTCAGCCCTGGCGGCTTGACATGTCAGGTGCAGGTAGGTACATGCTCATCCAAAATGCTGATGAGATAGAGAAACAGAGGAGAAAGAATTGCAGCATCACCACACCCACTGGGGTGTGCACACACACTCACTCACTCTGGCAAGCACTTACACTCTCTTATAATAAAAACAAAAACCAAACAAACACGAAAAAGGCAATGACTGAATTGGCTTACAGAATATCAATTAAAAATATTAAGTCAACTGGAGGGTCAGCTAGTGGTGTGGTGATTGAGGGCACTGAACTTCTACAAGGCTGATTGTGGTTCAAGTCCCGAACCTGGGGGCTTGCTTTCTCACTTTCTTTCTCTCTGTCTCTCGCTCTGTCCCTCTCTGGTCAAATTAAAATAAATGAATAAAGTTCAATAAAATAATTCTTTAAAAAA